CCATGGAGAGTCACAAATTTTTTTGTTGTTGTTGTTGTTGTTGTTGTTGAGACAGAGTCTCGCTTTGTCGCCCAGACTGGAGTGCAGTGGCCGGATCTCAGCTCACTGCAAGCTCCGCCTCCTGGGTTCACGCCATTCTCCTGCCTCAGCCTCCCGAGTAGCTGGGACTACAGACGCCCGCCACCTCGCCCGGCTAGGTTTTTGTATTTTTTAGTAGAGACGGGGTTAGCCAGGATGGTCTCGATCTCCTGACCTTGTGATCCGCCCGTCTCGGCCTCCCAAAGTGCTGGGATTACAGGCTTGAGCCACCGCGCCAGGCCGAGAGTCACAAATTAAGCAGTTCCCGAGGCTCTCAACCACACTGTGGCCCAGAGATAGACTACAGTGTGTGACTCATCTAGGAGTCATGAGCTCTGGAACATGGTTGTGATAAGGCAACAGTTCATATTCTTGTGTATCTAGGACAAGGGGCTTGTGCAGCACCCCACAATCCCCCACGAAAACTCAGCACATTTCATTAGGAGTTCCTCCTACTCCTAGCCACCTCCACTAGGGCTGGTGCCTGCACTTGACATAGGAGTATTTGAGGGTAAGCCAGAAGTTCCAGCTCTGCCCAGCTGTGTCCCCCTACCCCCACAGAACAGGAAGCACATGTCACAGAGCACTTCGTGCTTCAGCCCATTAGCTGAAACAACAGAGAGCATCTCCCAGTAAACAAAGATTAGTTACATATCCATCTGTTGCACAACCACTAACTCTGAACCATAAAACCATTGATAAAAGAAAAACTTCAGCTGAATTATATTTTTAAAAGTTTAATTTAGCAATGAACAATTCAGGAATTGGGCAGTCCCTAGAATCAGGCAGATTCACAAAGACTCCAGTGCAGCCACATGGTGGAAGATTTATAGACAAAAAAAAGGGAAATGACATACGGAAATTGGAAGTGAGGTACAGAACAGCTGAATTGGTTACAGCTCCACATATGCCTTCTTTGAACATAGTTTGAACACTCAGCAGTGTATAAATGGTTAAAGTATGGCCACTGGGACTGGCTAAAACTTAGCTATTGTTACAAATGCATACTACTAAGTTAGGTTTTCAATTTTGTCTGCCTATTAAGCTAGGTTACAGTTCATCCACAAGGACTCAAATATGGAAGTATGGAGTCCCTCTCAGGCCATATTTAGTTTGCTTTAACACCATATACCAGCATGTAGGTTGAACTGCACAGCCCAATATGAAACCTGCTGACAGAAGTATGTAGCAATATGGACGTAAAGCCAAAAGACCCTCTTCAACATACTTTATAGTCACACCCTCTGTCAAGGAGGAGAAAGGGAAAGAAGAAAAAAAACCCAATAATATACAGATTGAAAGGGGGGGAATTTTACCTATAGGAAAATAATTACAAAAATTAGAAATGCCAGTTATCTCCAAAGGAGAAAGAACCCACACAAGAATTCTGGCACCATGAAAAATGTGAATGCTGTGACACCACCAGAAGATCACACTAGTTCTCCAATAATGGCCCCCAACCAAAATGGAAACTCAGAAATGTCGGCTAAAGAATTCAACCCATGGATTCCAAGAAAACTCAAAGATATTCAAGATGAGATTGAAAATCAACAAAAAGAAACTACTAACACGATCCAGGAAAAGAAGGAAGAGATAAGCACCTTCAGAAGAAATCAATCAGAGCTTCTGCAATTGAAAACCTTACTTAAAAGAATATCAAAATACAATTGAAAAATTTATCAATAGACTAGACTAGACCAAGCAGAAGAAAGAATTTCAAAGCTTGAAGACTGGCCCTTTGAGCTAACCCAGTGGTGTGGGGGTGGGGGAAAATAAATAAATAATTTTTTAAAATGAACAAACTAGGATATTTTGTCTCATACTTACAGTGGACGACCTTGATTTTCCACTTCTTTTCAGGGATGAGTCATATGGTGATAGAAAATGCCCTCGACCTGGAGGAGCAGTTTGTTCATCTGGACCTGAACGCCTCTGATAAACAGAGTGGAGGAGGAAGTACAGCAAGCCAAGAGTGCTATATACCTCCTCACTTAAGGAACAAGGAAGCATCTAAAGGATTCTATGATAAAGACAGTTCAGGTTGGAGTTGTAGCAAAGATAAGGATGCATATAGCAGTTTTGGGTCTCGAGATTCAAGAGAAAAGCCTGGTTATTTCAGTGATTATGGAAGTGGATCAAGGGGAAGATTTGATGATCCTGGATGGAGTGACTATGATGGTATTGGCAGTCATGGTGACAGAACTGGCTTTGGCAAATTTGAACGGAGTGGACACAGTCATTGGTGTGACAAGTCAGATAAAGATTATTGGTCAAAACCGCTTCCACCAAGTGAATGCTTGGAGTAGGTACTCTTTTCTGGAGGAAACACTGGCATTAACTTTGAGAAATGTGATGACATACCAATAGAGGCAACCAGCAGTAACTGTCTTCCACATATTGAAAATTTCAGCAATGTTGACATGGGAGAAATTATCATGGGGAACATTGAGCTTGTTACCTGGGTCTGTATAAGAGACCACTTGAGCAGGCTTAGTGTGAGCAACAAGGCTGTTTATTCACTTGGGTGCAAATGGGCTAAATCTGAGAAAGGAATCAGCAAAGGGTGGTGGGATTATCATTGGTTCTTACAGGTTTGGGATAGGCGGTTGAGTCAGGAGCAATTTTTTGCGGGCAGCAGATAGATGTTACAAAGTACATTCACAAGGGCGGGGGGAATGTTACAAAGTACATTCACAAGGGTGGGGCTGGTGTATTGTCACAAGGGCAGGGGAGAAATGTTACAAAGTACATTCACAAGGACGGGGAATATCACAAAGTACATTATCACAAGGGCAGGGGAATGTCACAATGGCTTGACCATGGTGCGGCCAGCTCAGAGGACCTTATATTCCTGTCTTTTTATGTTAATAATGAAGAAATAAAATAAGAAAGTAATGAAAACTTTGGATGAAAATTTTGGGGGCAGTATGGACGGGTGATGGGCAACATTTCTCAGAGCTGCTTCAAGTGGGATTGGGGCAGTGTGGGAACCCAAAGTGGGAGAGATTAGACTGAAGTAAGATTTTGGGGGAAGGGGTGATATTGTGGGGTTGTTAAAAGCAGCATTTGTCACACAGAGTGATTAGTGATAGCCTGGATGCAGTTTTGTAGGAATTGAGGGATTAATCGGAAGACATAAGGCCCAATAAGAGAAGGAGGAAGATAGGTATTACAGGACTAACGATTGGAAGAAGCCAGGATACCCAGTTAGAGAGTGACCAGGTGGGTCCAGCATAATTAGTTGCCTGATTAGTGAGTTTTTGAGCTCTTTGAGTTTTTTGATGTTACCATATACCAGACCAGATTGATTTAAGTGAAAACAACACTCTTCATTAAGAAATATACCAAGTCCTCCTTTTCCAGCAGTGAGTAAATTGAGGCCTTGGCGGTTCTGGAGGACAACTGCAGCTAAAGAGTCAACCTGGGCTTAGAGGACAGATAAAGTTTGTGATATATCTGTAACGCTAGCAGAGAAGTCATTAAAGAGGCTGTGGAATGTTATGACAGAGGTTGAGATGCCTGCTATTCCAGTTCAAAGTGCAATAGTGGAGGCAGAAAGTCCTAGACCCATAAGTAAAGGGATTAGTGGGAAGACTGTTTTTTGTCATGTTGATGTCATGAAGGGGACAGGCAGTTGTTCGTTCCCATCTACAAACTGGATTTTGGGGGTAAGGAAGACTAGGGAACATGTGCCCATCTAGTTGGCAGGTAGGCACATGTAGGTGGAAGAGCCACATAAAAAGAACAGACCAGCTCGGTCGGGGAGACCCTACCCAAGTGGCGCTAGAGGAATTAAAGACACACACACAGAAATATAGAGGTGTGAAGTGGGGAATCAGGGGTCTCACAGCCTTCAGAGCTGAAAGCCCTGAACAGAGATTTACCCACATATTTATTAACAGCAAACCAGTGATTAGCATTGTTTCTATAGATATTAAATTAACTAAAAGCATCCCTTATGGGAAATGAAGTGATGGGCCGAATTAATTGCAGGGGGAACACGCCCTTAAGACACAGATCGCTCAGGCTTTTGTTTGTGGCTTAAGAATGTCTTTAAGTGGTTTTCCGCCCTGGGCGGGCCAGGTGTTCCTTGCCCTCATTCCCAGAAACCCACAACCTTCCAGCTTGGGCGTTATGGCCATTATGGACATGTTACATTGCTGCAGAGGTTTTGTTTATGGCCAGTTTTGGGGGGGCTTGCTCCCAACATGTCTCCCTTCGTTGATTTGCAAAAAGATAAAAGGGCAGCTTTGTCATGGTGAGCTACTTCTTGCAGGAGTCGGGATCCGCATCTGCAGACTATACAAAGACAAACAACATAGATTAAAAGCACAATCATCATTGAAATCACAGAGCTTCCAAGTGTTTTTATCCATTTAAATGGGTTACTAGCTGCTAATTTGTCTGCAGCTCCTTTAAACACTCCAGTTTCTGGCATTAAGGTCAGGTGTGCCTGGGATGCTTTAAATATTTGTTCTTTTAATTTTGCTATATCCAAAAACAAGTTTGTAGAGTGTCCTTCTAGATTTTTTTTTTTATTCTTTCCCAAATTTTGATCTTATTAAGAGCATTAAATAGTTTCCACAAATCCTTATGTTTAGCTCCTACAGCGGGCCATATCATTTGAGGTTGAGGTGCCACTATACCGCCATGGTTCCAGATAATAGGAACTTTTGCCGTACTTATCATTTTTACCATCTGATTTGTTCAGATCATCTGAACATAGTATGGCCATGGCACGCAGACCGAGAGGTGCAATTTAAGCTAAACATCCCCTTAGGGAACGGATCAATAATGATTCCATAGGAATCGTTGTGCAGCACCTCTGCCTGTTCTGCAGAGCAATCTTCCTAAACAAGTACATTCATTTTTTCTAACTGGGTCCAATCCTGTTTACAAATAGGTTTTTGAGGGTGGTATGCCTCAATTATAGGATCAGATTTATTATGGTAAATACTGAGATCAGAAAGCATGTGTAACTGTGTCATAGTGATTGCATCCAGGCATTATTACCAGCCCTTATTGAAGGAATACTCACGGCAGTGGTGATAACTGCTATCATAGCTACCATTAAATTATTCATTGTGACTGGTTGTCCCACTTTCCTCAGGTTTTCTTTTGCCATCTGTGACAGCTTCTGGATCTGCCTCCAGGTGGGTGGCTGTGTTCGACGGGTGTGGGCCGTGACAGTAGGGGTCCTCCTCAGCGTCAGTCTCAACATGTCTGCAACTGGGGGGTCCTCGGGATCCTCCCAGAGTCTCTTCCTCAGCATCTGGCTCATAATAAGGTTTCAGGTGTCTTGATAGTACCCAAATCGGCTGTTGGTTTTGGCCTGGAGAAATACAAGCATAACCTCTACCCCAAGTTATTATTTTACCTATTTCCCAACTTTTTGTCATTGGATCTTTTCACCAAATAATGCTAGATTAAATTGTATATGGGCTGTCCTGTAATCCCTATTTCTCCTCCTTTTTTGTTTTTGTCAGCAGTTGTTCATCTATATGAAATTGTAACTGAGCATTTTCAATTAACTGTGTGGAATGAATCACGTATGAAGAATCAGAAATCACATTAATAGGCATATCAGAAGCAGTCAATACCTCAATTACAGCTACAAGCACCACTTTTTGAGTTGAAGTATAGGAAGTCTGGAAAACTTTACTTTTGGAACCAGAATAAGAAGCTTTACCATTACTAGACCCATCTGTAAAAACATTCTCAGCACCTTCAATTGGTTTAAATTTAGTTATTTTAGGGAGAATCCAATTAGTTAATTTCAAAAACTGAACCAGCTTCATTTTAGGAAAATGATTATCGCGAATACCCACAAAGTCAGCTAAATGGGTTTGCCAAGTAAGACTATTTATAAAAGCTTGCTGTATTTGTGCCTTTGTGAGAGGGACAATAATTTTTCCAGGATCATATCCATGTAATTTAACAATCCAGTTCTCCCAATCCCTATCATAGTAGCAATTTGATCTAAATAAGGAGTTAGAGTCCGTGAATTAGTATGTGGAAGAAAAAGCCACTCTACTAAGTCCTGTTCTTGGACAATAACACCAGTAGGTGAATGCTGAGTTGAAAAGATTAGCAAATCTAGAGTCTTCTCTGAATCTATTCTATTTATCTGAGCTTTATGGACTTTTCAATTAGTTGTAACTCTGCCTCCACCTCCTTTGTTAATTGCCAAGGGCTAGTGAGACTAGGATTTCCTCTAAGGATAGAAAACAGATTATTCATGGCATAGGTAGAGAGCAGGTCATATCCAATTAATATCCCCTAGTAATTTTTGAAAATCATTTAATGTTTTTAATTTATCCCTATGTATGGTTACTTTCTGTGGCACAATGGTAGTGTCATTTACTAAGGTCCCCAAGTAGGAGTAAGGAGTAGTAGTCTGAATTTTGTCAGGAGCTGTAATTAAACCAGCATGAGAAATTGAATTTTGCAAGTGATCATAACATTGGAGTGGTATTTCTCGAGTGGGGGCAGCACAAAGTATATCATCCATATAGTGAATAATGTAACACTGTGAAAAGTTTTGACGAGTAGGTTCAATGGCTTATCCTGCATACCTCTGGCAAATAGTTGGACTGTTTAACATGCACTGTGGCAACACTTTCCAGTGATAATGGTTAGCAGGCTGCAGGTTGTTTACTGCAGGAATTGTAAATGCAAACCATTCACAGTCTTGCTCAGCTAAGGGGATAGTAAAGAAACAGTCTTTTAAATCCATGACTATTGAAGGCCAATTTTTTGGAATTATAGCAGGCGAAGGCAATCCTGCCTGTAATGCTCCCACAGGTCGTATAACTGAATTGATGGCTCTTAAGTCAGTTAACATTCTCCATTTACCTGATTTTTTTCTTAATTACAAAAACTGGAGAATTCCAAGGAGAATATGTTGGAGCTATGTGCCCATTTTCTAATCGTTCAGCAACTAATTTCTCTAAAGCCTCCAGTTTTTCTTTACTTAGTGGCCATTGTTCTATCCAAATTGGCTTGTCTGTTAACCATTTTAAAGGTATAGGTTCTGGAGGCTTAACAATGGCCGCCATCAAAATTTTTTTCCTAATCTTTGGTGGGAACTCTGTTTTTCCACTTGAAGCGGTTTTTTTAAACCTTGCAAATTTTTTTCTGGTCTCATACCAGGGACATAACCCATTTCATGCATTGTATGTTGACTTTGAGGGCTATATAATTGTTCTGGAATTAGAACTTGTGCTCCCCATTGTTGTAATAAATCTCTTGCCCATAAATGTATAGGTACAGAAGTTATAATTGGTTGAATGGTCCCAGGTTGTCCATCAGGCCCCTCACAATGCAAAATATAACTACTTTGATATACTTCAGCAGCTTTACCAACTCCAACTATGTTAAATTGAGTGGGTTGAATTGGCCACGTGGACAGCCAGTGCTGTAGAGAAATGATTGAAATTTCCGCTCCCATATCTACCAAACTTTTAAATTTCTTTCCTTGAATAGTTATTTCACAGGTAGGACGTTTATCAGTAATTTGATTTACCCAATAATCTGCTTTGCCTTGTTTATTTGTGCTTCCAAATCCTCCCATTTCTTTAGTTTAGTTTCACTTTTCCCCATTCCCAAATATGGCACAATCAGGAGCTGTGCTATGCGCTCTCCTGGCTCTGCTTTCCAGGAACAGAAGTAGACACAACAATTTGAATTTCCCCATTGTAATCTGAATCAATGACTCCTGTATGTATTTGTATGCCTTTTAAACTTACACTAGACCTTCCTAAAAGTAATCCTATTGTCCCTGCTGGCAAGGGTCCACAGACTCCTGTTGGGACCTTTTGCGAGGGTTCCCCAGGCAGAAGACTCACAGCTTTCGTGCAGCATAAATCTACTGTGGCACTACCAGCAGAGCGTCCCAGTCAGTAGGTGTCGGTATCATTCGACTAGAAACAGTAAGATTCTTAAACAATCCCACTACAAAAGGAGAACCTGGTCCATACTGACTTATTGCTTGTTTTAATTCTTTGAGTAATTTAAAAGGAAAAGGCTCAAATGTAGCTATAATATTCCCTTCTTGATCTGGGGTGTGTATTCTAACAGGGAACTGCCAAGTCTCTAAATCACCCTCTTGTCTAGCTTGCTGAATTCCTGCCTGAATCAAACTAAGAGCAGTGGCTCGAGGCACTGCTCGAACAGTAACTGGGGTAATTACTTTTCGCCCAGTGTACTCCGGAAAAGAAAGATCTGGGGGGTCATTTTCTTCAAAATAATAATGAGGGGGTGCAGAAGGGTAGGGATGAACCTCTCCTTCCTTTGCCGCTTTAGCTTCAGCTGGCAAATAAACATGCTCTGTAACCTCTTCTGTTACTTCGCTATACTCTTGTTCCTTCTCCTTATCCGTGTGAAAAAGTTCCAAGGTGAAACGAACCAGACCCAAACTTGCTCCATTGTTACCCTGAAGCTTCTGAGCTCCTCTTCTTACTCACCAGGGGATTGCTTTAAGAGTACTCGGGTGTCCTCCAGCTTGTTTTCCATTCCAACCGTCACTCCGGCAACCCTTTGACCTGGATTCCAGCCCCCATGAATGGACGCCTCTTGCTGAGACCAGCTCGGTCGGGGAGACCCTCACCCAGCGGTGCTAGAGGAATTAAAGACACACACACAGAAATATAGAGATGTGAAGTGGGGAATCAGGGGTCTCACAGCCTTCAGAGCTGAGAGCCCTGAACAGAGATTTACCCACATATTTATTAACAGCAAACCAGTCATTAGCATTGTTTCTATAGATATTAAATTAACTAAAAGCATCCCTTAAGGGAAACGAAGGGATGGGCTGAATTAATGGCAGCAGGAACACGCCCTTAAGACACAGATCGCTCAGGTTTTTGTTTGTGGCTTAAGAATGCCTTTAAGCGGTTTTCCGCCCTGGGCGGGTCAGGTGTTCCTTGCCCTCATTCCGATAAACCCACAACCTTCCAGCTTGGGCGTTATGGCCATTATGGGCATGTTACATTGCTGCAGAGATTTTGTTTATGGCCAGTTTTTGCGGGGCTTGCTCCCAACAACCTTGTGTTAGGCAGAACTGGAAATGTAAAGTGAAAAGGTGAGATGGTGTACTGAGAGGAGTCCTGCACCCCAAATCCTAGAGATCCAGCAAGGACAGTAGCTGTTAGAGGTTGTAATGGGGATTGATGGTGCAATTGTATAGAGTGAGAGGTTTGGTTTTCATGGTATATGAGAAAGCGCATAGTGTCTACGAGTAACCTTTCACTGCTATTGATGGGGCTGGGTAAAAGCAAGCAAGAGGAGGGGTCAGGAGGAGAGTCAGATGAGCAGGGAGAGGGTAGCCAAGGATGGAGTGAGATGCAGGGTAGGTGTCTTCCTAAACAATAGTGATTGCCAATGTTTTTTTAGTTTGTCAATAATGATAGAGGGCTTATCAGTAATGCGAAGTTGGAATGCTCCCATCTGTTTGGTAATGTGTGTGGCTGGGTTCTGGAGATAAGGACTAAAGGAACATTTGGAAGGTGGAAGGTTGCCTAAAGGGATTCCAGTAGGCTGTTGTCAGGAGATGCATAAAGGAGCAGCAACAGGGATAGTTGTCTGTGTGATTAGGGGTCCAAATATTGGCAGGGGGAGGGGGGTGGAATTGACATAAGGAGAAAGGTGCTGCAAGTAGATGCGGAGAAGTGTGGCAACTTGTTGGTGCGAAATGTCTAGGGAGTTCTCACCAAATCTGTCTAGAAAGTAAAGAAGTTCCTCAGGCGGGTAAAGATGAGGGCTATTAAAGGAGGTTCGGAGGTGCAGGGAGACAGGAGAGGTAGCCCAGTCGGCCTGTAGAGCCGGGATGGCTGTGTAAGAGCAGGAAGAAAGGGAAACACATAGCCAACAATTCTTTGCTAGAGAAGGATTGGAGGCAGTGAGGAGAGAGTGGGTGAGATTGATAGTATGCTGGGGGTACCTAGGAAGAGGTAAGAGTGACTGGAGAATGGGGGCAAGGATTAGTGAATAGAAAAGTAAAAAAAAAAAAAGGACTTCATCAGGATAGAAGAATTGTGTACCTTGCCACTGAAGATATTCTATCCACTCCCAGAGCGAGTTAAGGGTGGCGGTTTGAGGCAAAACCAGGAGATATCAGTTATGATGGTTTGGAGGAAAAGTGTAAACCGGCAGTGTAAACAAGGGCAGGGCATTTATGAGTAGTTGAGAATGGTGAATAGGAAGTATGACTAGACTGAAGATAGTAGGGATGACAAGTTTTTGGGGCACAGTCCAAGTAGTGGGGGTGACTGCATAAAGCCCTGTTACAAAAAGTAGGGTAAAGATGAATAGACCTAATAGAATGAAGGAATGTATTAGGCTCATAAGGGTTATTACTGTTCTTCAGAAATGCGAGTGAGTTTAAGGGAAGTAGGGGAGAGTACCTGCGATTTCCAGGAGGAAGAGGAGAGATCAGGCTGGCTGGTGGACACAGCTTTATTCTGGAACGGTGAATCCAATAGGGAAGGTCCTGCAGGCGGACAGCAGTTGGGGTACTATAGATGACTAAATAGGGTTCAGCCCATTGAGGTTGTAGAGTTTGAGGGGTCAGATTCTTAACAAGAACTGATTGTACAGCTAGGGTGTCTTCATATGGCTGGGAATCTGGAATAGGGGAGAAAAGATTAGCAGCCTGGTGAATTTCCTGTCTAGCCTGCTGGAGGACCAGAAGATAGTCCTCCTTGAGAGCTGGTGTCTGGCATGAGGTTGGGGCCCAGCAAGAAGGTACGTCCATGTAAATTTTCAAATGGACTATACCCTGTAGCTTCTCAAGGATAGGCTCTAATTCTAAGGAGGGCAAATGGTAAAAGTGCTGTCCAGTCTTTTTTAAGTTGGAGGCTAAGCTTGGTGAGGTGTGTTTTTAAAAGACCATTAGTTCTTTCTACCTTTCCCAAAGATTAAGGATGGTAGGGGGTATGAAGTTTCCACTGGATGCCAAGGGCCTGGGAGACTGCTTGAGTGACCTGACTAATGAAGGCCAGCCGGTCCGTTATCAGACTGTATAGAGGTCAGAAGGCCAAACAGAGGAATTATGTCTGACAGAAGGGAAGAAATGACTGTGGTGGCCTTCTCAGACCCTGTGGGAAAGGCCTCTACCCATCCAGTGAATATATCTACCCAGATCAAAAGATATCTTAGTTTTTTGACTCAGGGCATATGGGTAAAGTCAATCTGCCAGTCTTGGGTGGTGGCAAATCCTCTAGCTTGATGTGTAGGAAAGAGAGGGGGCCTGAGATATCCCTGAGGGGTGGTAGAGTAGCAGATGAAACACTGAGAAGTAATTTCCTTGAGGATGGATTTCCATGATGGAAAAGAAATGAGAGGTTCTAAGAGATGGGCCATTGGCTTGTAACCCACATGAAAGAGGTTATGAAAGGATGATAAGATAGAATGAGCCTGTGAGGCAGGAAGGAGGAATTTTCCTTGATCCAAGGACCACTTGCCTTGAGTAGGAAGGGATTGATAGGTAAGAGTTTCAATGGGAGAATAGGTGGGAGTGATAGATGAGAAGGAAGAAAACTGGCCGTGAGGGACAGATATGCGAATACTAGCTGCTTCTTTTGCTGTATTATCAGCATAAGTGTTGCCTCAAGCAATGGGATCTGGTGACCTCTGATGCCCTTTGCAGTGAATGACTTCAGCTTCCTTGGGCAGTAGAGCAGTCTTAAGGACGATTTTTATTAAGGTGCGTTGATGATGGAGGACCCTTGTGTAGTGAGAAAACCTCTTTCTGCCCGTATAACAGCATGGTGATATAGGATGTGGAAGGCATACTTGGAATCAGTGTAGATATTGACACGTAGTCCCTTTGCAAGGGTAAGGGCCCAGTTTAAAGCAATGAGTTCGGCTTGTTGAGAGGTAGTGGAAAGGGGCAGGGCAGTAGCTTCAATGACAGATGTGGAAGACACTACAGCATAGCCTGCCCTTGCTGGTGACTGATGATTGGGCCTTGAAGAACTACCATCATAAACCAAGTGTGGTCTGGATTAGGAACAGGAAAGAGGGAAATATGGGGAAATGGGGAGGATGCCATATGGATTAGAGAGATACAGTCATGAAGTTCAGATTTGGTGCTAGGTATAAGGTGAGAGGATGGGTTGAAGTTTGTGCCAGGACACAGACTTTGTGGGAGTTTCAATGAATAGTTAGTACAGTTGGAGGAGTTAGGGGGCGGAAAGTATATGCGCTAAGCGTGATTAGGAAAATAGATGTTGAAACTTATGAGAGCTGTAGAGAGTAAGTGGGGCATGGGTTGTGATCTTGAGGGCCTCTAGAAGTATTGAAGCGGCAGCTGCTGCTGCATGTAGACATGAGGGCCAGCCTAGAACTGTGAGGTTAAGTTGTTTGGATAGGAAGGCTACAGGTCGTGGGCCTGGTTCCTGTGTAAAAACTCTTGACCGCACAGCCTTGTATTTCAGCTGTATGTAAGAAGAAGGATTGGGACGAGTTAGGGAGTGCTAATGTGGGGAGTGTTTCTAGGGCTGTCTTTAAGGAACAAAAAGAAGAGTGAAGAAAGGACTTAGGGTCTATGGGGTCAGTCAGGTTTCCCTTTGTGAGTTTATATAGTGGTTTAGTTGGACTGCAAAACCTGGTATCCAAAGGCGAAAGTATCCAACCACGCCTAGGAAGGAAAGGAGTTGTTGCTTTGTAGAAGTGGTTGGGGTTTTGGAGATTAGCCATACACAGTTAGCAGGCAGAGCATGTGTGTTTTGATGAAGGACTCTGCCAAGATAGGTAATGGATGGGGAAGAAATTTGGGCTTTAGAGGGGGATATATGATACCGCTTTGAGAATATATGTCGAAGGAGCAGGAGGGTATCCTGTTGGGAAGATTCATAAGAGGGGATGCAGAGGAGAAGGTTGTCCATATATTGAATAAAGTGAGAAACAGATGAACGGAAAGAAAGTAGATCATGAGAAAGAGTTTGACTAAAGTAATGGGGGCTGTCTCTGAAGCCTTGTGTCAGTACAGTCCAGGTGAGTTGCTGAGACTGGTGGGTGTCAGGGTCAGTCCATGTGAAAGCAAAAAGAGGTTGGGATGAGGGGTGCAAAAATAGTGAGGAAAGTATCTTTGAGGTCAAGGATGGAATAATGAGTTGTGAAGGGAGGTATTGAGGATAGGAGAGTACATGGGTTTGGCACCACAGGATGGATAGGTAAGACAATTTGGTTAATAAGGCAAAGATCCTGAACCAAGCTGTAAGATTTGTCCGCTTTCTGGACTAGTAGGATAAGGGAGTTGTAAGGAGAATTTGTAGGCTTTAAAAAGCCATGCTGTAACAGGTGAGTGATAACAGGCTTTAGTCCTCTTAAAGCCTGTTGTGGGATGGGGTACTGGTGTTGAGTGGGGTAAGAGTGATTAGGTTTTAATGGGATGGTAAGGGGTGCCTGATTAGTCACCAAGGAGGGAGTAGAGGTATCCCATACTTGTGGATTAAGGTAGGGAGACATGAGAGGAGAATTCAAAGGAGGCCTTGAATCAGGTAAAAGGACAGCAATGAGGTGTAGTTGTAGTCCAGGAATAGTCAGGGAAGCAGATAATTTAATTAAAATGTCTTGGCCTAGTAAGGGAACTGGGCAGGTGGGGATAACTAAAAAAGAGTGCATAAAAGAATGTTGTCCAAGTTGGCACCAGAGTTGGGGAGTTTTAAGGGGTCTAGAAGCCTGGCCGTCAATACCCACAACAGTTACGGGGGCAAGGGAAACAGGCCCTTGAAAAGAAGGTAATGTGGAGGGGGTAGCCCCTGTATCGATTAAACAGGATATGGACTTACCCTCCACTGTAAGAGTTACCCAAAGCTCGGCGTCCGTGATGGTCCAAGGGCTTCCAAGGCAATCAGGCAGCATCAATTTTCAGCCGCTAAGCCAAGGAGATCTGGGAAGGAGTCAGGCAAGGAACGCTGGGTTTGAGCTCCAAGAGCTTTAAGAGTGGCAGCGATGTGAGTCAGACAGTCTGACTTCCAGTGGGGGCCCACACAGGGGTTTCAGTGTGTTAGGAGCCCCGGGGAGCTGCGGCTTAGATGTTCTGAAGGTTTTGTATGCTGGAGAAGTGGTTGTGGGTTGTCTTACAGTGGAGGCAAGCAGCTATAACTCAGAGATACGTTGCCACTTTGCAGCTGCTTTTCTGTTATTGAACACCTTGAAGGTGAGGTTGATTAAATCCTATTGTGGGATTTGAGGGCCAGAATCCAACTTTTGGAGTTTTTTTCTAATGTCAGGATTGCATTGGGTCATAAAATGCATATTAAGGATAAGGCGGCCTTCTGGACCCTCTGGGTCTAGGGCTGTAAAGCATCGAAGGGTAGCTGCTAAGCGGGCCATGAACTGGGCTGGGTTTTCATTTTTACCTTGGGTAGTTTCCTTTAGCTTGTCATAATTAACAGCTTTGTATGCTGCCTTTTTGTGCCCCTAGACTAGGCAGGAGACCATGTAATCTCACCTAGCTATACCTGGGGAGTCTGTGTGGTATTGCCAACAGGGATCCTCTCAGGGAACTGCCCTGGCGCACTCTTGGAGACCTGGCTCATGAAGCTGGCAGGTGTCTGCATAGGACTGGGCTAGAGAATAAACTCTTTCTCATTTATCTGGGTAGAGGGTAGAGGTCAGGATGACATTTATCTCACTCCAGGTTAAATTGAAGGACTGAGTTAGATATTGGAATTCCTGTATATATTTATTGGGGTCTGATGAGAAAGAGCCTAAATGCTGTCTGATTTGGGAAAGGTCTGATAGAGAAAAAGGCACATGTACCCTGACTATGCCTTCAGCTCCAGCCACCTCTCTAAGAGGAAATTGTTGGGCAGGTGGGGGAGAGCTAGTCATGGAATGAAACTGTAAGTCTGACCGGGTGTGAGGAGGGAAGGTAATAGAAGGGTTATAGGGTAGAGGAGTGGAGGCTATAGAAGAATTGGGACCTGATTCAACCTGGCGAGGAGTGGCCAGGGGAGGAGAAGAGAGGTAAGAGGGGTCAGTGGAAAAGGAGGATTCAGAGGACTCTGAGTTTGGGGTGGAGACCAGAGGAGCGGATGGGAGAGAAAGAAGGAAAATCTGGGACAAGTTGCATTGGGAGCAGAGACTACGGAGGGAATGAAGTGTAAAAAAATGCCTGGACGTAAGGCACCTTGGACCATTTGCCCATTTTTTGACAAAAATTATCTAGGTCTTATAGGATAGACAAATCGAAAGTGCCATTCTCTGGCCACTTGGAACTATTGTTGAGTTCGTACTGGGGCCAAGCAGTATTACAGAAAAAATAAGATGTTTAGGTTTTAGGTCAGGTGTTAGTCGAACGGGTTTTAGGTTTTTAAGAACACAGGCCAAGGGGGAAGAGGGAGGAATGGATGGCAGAAAGTTACCCATAGTGGAGAAGGTAAGTTTAAAAAGGAAGGTAGAGACATGGAGAAATGGAGGCGGCAGCTACAGACTTCCAGTAGGCGTCCCTGACTGAGTCCTGGGCTGTAACGTGGGTGAGCAGCCAAAGCAGGCATCCCCACAATTGACCTGCCACCAAGGGAATGTGAGTGAATGATCAAGGCAGGTGTCCCCATGGTGATCAGACACCAAGGGAAGACTGTCTTCCCAAGTCCATGACCACCATTGGAATTTTTGAATGCACGGATAAAGTGTATCTCCTTTTTGTCTCTACCAGGAAGGGAGAGGAACTGAAATTGAAAGGAAAGAGATTGAAGGGAGGT